AGGTATCAACGCGTCCAACTGCGTTGTAATCTCGAAGCAGTATGCTTTAGAATGCGTAATTAATGCTTCTACCTACTTTCAATTTGCAGCCACGCAGAGTATCGCATCGTAGATTCGAGCTACGTATTGATTGATATATCGTGAAAGACACGAGATTGATTAACAAATAGCTACATACGTTTGCTTACAAGCTGTCGTTTAAACCTATGTTTTTAAATAATCTGAAGCGTAAAAAGTGATAGGAAAATATTTACCACAGTATTCAGCATATTTTTTGAAAAATGATCGTACTACATTGCAAATTGCAACATCTAGAAATTATGGTTGCACAAATATAGGTATTTTTCGAGCTACTCGTAGGAGAAAATGATCTTTTTTAATGAATCAGCCACTCAGAAGCGAAAATGATTAATTTATTTTTTTGAAATTCTTCCAATTTTAATATCAAAGCACATGCTTGGTGCTTAATTCTTCAAAAATTTCATAAATTTAATTTAACGGAGTTAGTCATTTTGGCTTCTGAGTGGCTCAAATAAGACCTTCTTTAATCAAATTTTAATCATTTTTTCCTCTCAATACTCCAAATTTCAGATTTGTGCGATTTCGTTTTTCAGGTGTTGCAATTTTTTCCGCGAGCAGGGTACTTCCATATTTTGACCAACAGTGTTTAAAACACATATAACACTTTCATCCTAAAATTTTCTTTAATCATTTTTTTAAGAATTAGTTTATATAAAGTATTTTACTTGTTTCAATATGTAGAATTATCTAGAAAGAAAGAGCTTCGTTTGTAATATAAACAACGCGAACTGCCGCAGAAAGAAATGATTGCATCAATTGATTGAATTAGGGACATAACGTTATACTTGTAAGGTCAATTACGTTTCCCTTTTCTGAAGAGAACACAATTTTCTATAATATAACGAAAAGAGAACAAAACAGAACAGAATTAAAGTTATAAAGTTTTTCAAAATTCTGTGAGCCACTCATAAGCCGAAGTGACTAATCCATAAAATAAAATTGTTTAAATTCGTTTTATTTATGAAAAATTAAATACCAAACATATGTTTTTATACTAGAATTCGAAGAATATAAAAAAGTGGAGTTAATCATTTTGACTTCTGAGTGGCTTACATATCGAAATGCACCTTTAAGGGGCATTTACAAATCTGCTAGAACAGTTTTAAGCATTAGATGACTTTAATAGTATAATACACCAAGTGTTTGATTATTTTATATGATAACAAACAAGATCGAATTTATCCATGCGCGCGCACGTTTGTGTACGAAGGCAAATACTATTTTGTTAACTTATTCGCAACAAGATACTTTCGTATCTTTAATGTTGTAGTTAACAACAAAAGAATAGTATGTTGTTATCCATTCTTTTTCTTCTTATAAAATGCAGTTTACATAATTATTTTTCATTTTCTTTTTTCTTTTTAGGTTAACCTGTTAACTAGGATCACTTCTCAAACAGAATTTGAATCTCTCTGCTTTATAATTAAAAATGATTAAAAATAATAACCACTTACTTCATCTCAATTCAGTTAAACATGAATTCAGATGAAAAATGAATTTTGATCAGTGCAATGAAAAACGAAGACTCCCACAATAAATAAACTATTTTATTCTAAATCTTGGCTAACCAATGACGAGTTAAATCGTATTCTTCAGTAAAAATTAATTCGTTTCTCTTTCCATATATAAAAATGCAAATACAGAAGAAAGTCTGAATAATATAAAGATAATAAAAGCTCTCTAAAAATTTGTAAATGTATGTTTTGCACTTTGTAAACATTCGGTCAAGTAATTCGCAAGATTTGAAACTGTAATCACACCAACATATTTTGCTTAAAAATTAATTACTTTTTAGTTTAGGCTTACATTTAGAACATTTTAAAACTTCGATTGCTTTTTTTTTTTTTTCAAAATAAATTCATAGAGATATCTGAAAGAATGAAAGTAGAAAATATTAGATTTTTGCATACTACTTATAAGGACTTTCAAAAATGATTATTCTTATGTCAATTGAAATACCTGCTTTTGTAACGAAATCATTGCACCGTACGACATTTTAAAAATGTCAACTTTTATATTCGCCGGTGATTATGACAGTGGTCTAAGTCGTACATTTTTCATTTCGAAATATCTAGAATTTTCCCTTTGAGTGTATTAAAAAATATTTATTCACTATGTAATAAAATATTTCACAAAGTGCTCGCTTTTATAATATAACTCTTTTCTACGAAAAGATCGACGCAACACAAAGTAAGCGATAAAGTCAATTTTTTTCAATTTTTCACTTAGACCTCTTTCATAATCACAATTTAAAACTTGGAAAATTTGTTAAAATGAAGAATACTGGATAAATAAACCGAATTCTTATATCGCCGAGTTTTATATGAGATATTACAATTTTGGCGTTTGTTGAGTACCTATACTTGTACTTTATCAATTACATTCGACTATCTATTCAATTCTCTGCGCTAATTTTTAACTTCCATTGTGTTCCAAGCTCTTTCACAAAATGAACACCGCAGTATATTCGGTACAGTTTTTATTTGAAAATTAATTTTAGGAACGCGTGAGATAAATGTGCGTGTGTTGCGTACTAAATATACCTACGATATAAGTTATTTATGTATCACTTTATCGACAATGTTATAATAACATTTCAGGTCGCTTTCATCCATTTGTATGCATCTCACAATTTTTCAACGTACAGAGCACATATCCTTTCTAATATCCTTACCAACTCAAATAACACACAATTTTTTACTGTCTTTTGAGTACGTCATCAACATTGCTTAATGATCTTAATTTTGCATACATTAAGTTCTCAAAAGTAAAGTAACAGCAGCACGTGATTTTTATAACGTACCTATGAACACTAATTCAATGTTTAATTTTGTTCGTATTTTCGTTGACAATAGTTTAATAAATAGCGTTAGAGATGCATACTATCTTATCAAATTTACAAGAACATCAATAATGTGCAATTCTAAAAATATTAATCTTGGCACAGAAGATGACTACAAATTTGTTCGTCATTTTGATCAATGTCTGTGATCCTTTATTTTAGTATCCTGTATCGCATAAACAAAAAACAACCTATTTCCAAGTTTTATTATCTCTCCATTTCGAGGATGACATTAATAACAAAATAACATCTTAACTTACACTCGGAATTGAATAGTCAAAGAGATATAAACGAGAACACCTAATGTGTACAAATTAGTATTAATAATTAGCTGCCACTTTAAATTCGTGTGATAAATGAAAAAGAATGCGTAAAAATTTATTTTCTACAATTTCATCTGTTTTAAGTGACGATTACAACGATAAATAAATTACTACAGTTGTTTTCAAATGATTTCACTCTGATTTGATTTTTGGTTATACAATTTCATCAGAACTCCAATTCGTATTTTGTATTTTTATTACGCAGTCACTTTAAGGATTTCACTTTATTTAACGAACTTACTTTAAATAAAATCGTAAAGTTAAAAACAGAAGTATCATTGCTTGCACAATACACTGTTTATTCTAATACTAATTGACTTTATTTATAAGTGAAGGAAATGTAAGTTTGTATAATTAACCCTCCATAGGCAATCTGGGTCATTAATGACCCAAGGAAAATTTCACTCTTATACTTTTTCTTCGAAACGAATCTTTATTTTTATTAAGAATAATGACTTAAGGAACAATTGTATAATGTAATATAGACTTTGATATGTAACACAGAGTTTTTTCTAATTTTTTGAAAGCTTAGAACGGTAAAAAAAATTAGACTAAGATATAAACGACCCGGTCTGTCTACTGGGTGCAAAAAAAAAGATGCTTGCCTGCGGAGGGTTAAGAAGTTGAAACGTAATTCGAGTAACAGTATCAAATTACGAAAAAAGTTTGTTCGTAACTGAAACAGATTGAAAGCAATATAACTAGAAGGGATTACTTTGGCTAAAAGTATGAAAATTCAGTTATTCGCATAAAGACTACTTGTTACAACGGAAACATTTTCAAAAATCTAGTTTTTAAATAAATAATTTCATTAAATATTAACAATAATCAACACATGTAAGTGCAAAATGCTTCATAAGTATGGCATAAAACATGTATGTATTCATTAAACAAATAAAAAAAAATAGAATTAGATACTTTTAGATAAAGTTGAATATTGTATTCCTTTTAAAACAAATGTTTGAACAATATTCATTTCTTCTTGAATTTTCAGTATAATGCTCATCAGTAGTAAAATATGCATACAAAAATAAATATCAATGTTAATATCATTCAGTACGAATCAGATGTTAATAAAAAAGTGTCACATAATTTTAATAAGTTTCATTTTTATCGCAAAAACTTTTTGTAAAAATAACACTACTTATAATTACAATCTTTCCTACCTGTTCATCCAAATTTACAAAGATATATACATATATATTCCTTTGTAAGGATTCATAAATGTTTATAAGATATTCATTTTATTTTTCTTCAAGCTTCGTTCATTTTTATAAATTGTTGTACCACTTTAATTATAAAAAATATCCTAATATTAGCAATTCTTTTGTTTTTGTTTAAAATGTTTAGAATATATTTCAGTCATTAATGTATAAATTTATACGAGAGAATGAAGATTTATTAGGCAAAGGAATCGTACATTTGTTTACAAATCCTTTTATTAGTAATAGATACCTCCCGATAATTTTAAAAATTAATACATTTGATGCTAATAAGAGATCATTGTGCAATATATGCAATATAGATAATATTGTGGAAACAGAATATACATAATAATTTGGCTTATTAAAAGGTGACAGAGAGAAGACAGCGATCGATTCTAAAGTTTGTCGCCTTGGTGTTCTCCCACGAGCGTTACCTTTTACGCCATATCCAACGCGCCTACACACGTATATTGGTTAATGTAAAGTAGCGTTGACGTCATACAACATGTGCCATACATGGTCCTACTGAGAAATAGCGTGGGTATCACACATTATAAAGTATTTCTGTTGTCATTTCTCACCAATCAGTGAATACTTTCTAGTTCCCCCTTTTCACAAAAAATGAAAGGTGGTCCAGACAATTAAAAGACATCGTTTACGCTATAATATTCAAACAGCATTCACAACATAATTTCAGTAATACCATGTACTTACATACATATGTTGCTGAATACTTCATAATGTGCTTTTTTTAGGGTTATTTTTAAGTCGGTTAATCTGTAACAAATTTTACTAATCGAAGTGAAAATACAAAGCATCTCAACATTTTCTTTACAACATATACTATATAATTACTTTAAAGGATGTGTCATGTACTTACTCTATAGACACATTGTATTAACCCCAATGTTACTAGCTTCTTAGAAAAGAGAAACATTGAATGCATATTTATATGTGTAGTAGAAATTAAATTTTTGTACAAAAAATCAAGTTTTATTTCACTAATTAGTTATTTCCTCAAATTTGTTACAATATTAGTAATGTAAGTACTTCTATACATGTAAAATCGATAATGTAACCTCAATAATTATAGTATATGTGAATTTTTTGCTCATCAGAATTCAACATATTGTTACTAACAATATTTATTCCAGAGAAGAAATAT